CTTCTTCTTCTTCTTCTTCTTATTATTATTATTATTAGTGATTTTTTTTTGAGACAGGGTTTCTCTGTGTGGCTGGTCTTGAACTCACAGAGATCCACCTGCGTCTGCCTCCTGAGTGCTGGGATTAAAGGTGTGCGCCACCACCGCCCGACCTTACAACTTATTTTAACCTGTTTTTCTTCATCTATGTTTTACTTTGGGGCTATTTACTTCTCTTTCATTCTGTATGTCCTACTTTTCCTGCTTCCTCTGTGTCTGTCTGTCTGTCTGGCCTTGAGCATCTCCCTCTTCTTTTCCCTGTTCTCTCCTTTTTCATTCCCTTCTCCTTGAGCCTGAATTCCTCCCATGTATTCTCTTTTCCCATCAGCCCTATCTGTCTACTCCTAGCTATTGGTCATTCGGCTTTTTATTAAACCAATTAGGTGCTTTGGGCAGGCAAGGTAAAACAAAGCAACACATCTTTACATGTAAACAAATGTAATGTTCCATGACAGCTGACTTGAAATAAATACAAAACAGAGCTGGAAAATATTCATCAAAAGGCAAATTAAAATACTCATACTAATCTTGCTACCTTCTGAATGACTTGGAGAACTCGGTCACTTCTACTCACGTTCATTTTAACAAGTATTTAGTGAATGTGTGCATCCACTTACTTAATTGAGTGCCACCAACTATGTGTGAGGCTTTGTTTTAGGCTCTGGAGCCAAACACAAATATTTCTATAGTTCTGGAACTTATGTACTATCAGCATAGAGTGATAACTTAAAAATAAGCAAAAATGTGCCGGTCGGTGGTGGCGCACACCTTTAATCCCAGCACTTGGGAGGCAGAGGCAGGCGGATCTCTGTGAGTTCAACGCCAGCCTGGTCTATAAGAGTTAGTTCCAGGACAGACTCCAAAGCCACATAGAAACCCTGTCTTGAAAAACCAAAATAAATAAATAAATAAAAGTAAGCAAAGTATATAACAATGTTCTCTTATAATCTGCCTGCCTAGTGCCATGAAAAGTATACTGTCCACTTAACTTTACTATCCTCTTACTAGACTTTAATTTCATTCAAATCCGTTTAATCTTGCAACTTGTAAATACAATATATCAGGAGAGACACAGGCTACAGAGTAGAAAAGACTTGAAAAAGGAGCCAGGCAATATCGTGGAAGGTGACATTTGAGCCCAATCTCGGGAATCTTAGGTGATTATGGAGATAGTTTTTCTGGAAGAAGGGAGGAGATGTAAAAACAGCCTCAGTTTTCTCTGTAGACCAAACCCTGTTGTATCCTGAATCTATAGAGATGTACTTCCTAGCCAACTAAAGAGTGCTGGCAGACTGAAAGAAGTTCTCCCTCGCACGGGATATGAAAATTGTCTCAAATACTGAAGATGGAGAGATACTGGAGGTAATGTAGGATGAAGAAAGTGGGAAAGAAACAGAGCTAGTGGAAGCCCCAGAAGAACACTGTCCTTTCGAGGGGTAAGTTGCAGAACTGCCTCTCTTTGACTGATGCAGCCCTGTCACACATGTAGGGAAGATACACTTGATCACAGAGGCTGCTGAGACTCTACTAAGGGTAGTTGGCAGAGACCAATTAAACCAGGATAAGCAAGGGACACACACACACACACACACACACACACACACACACACACAGAGACTCCGTTTCCTTTTTTTTTTTTAAGATTTATTATGTATACCATGTTTTGTCTGCATGTATGCCAGAAGAGGGAGCCAGATTCCATTATAGATGGTTGTGAGCCACCACGTGGCTGCTGGGAATTGAACTTAGGACCATCTAGAAGAACAGCCAGAGTTCTTAACCTCTGAGTCATCTCTTTAGCCCCCAGGAAGTCATTTCAAGTTTGGTCTTCATTATTTTGACATGAACTTATGAGCCATGATGGAAACAGTGAGAACATTGGCATGCTTATGAAGTGATGCTTTATAAAGAAAGCATGGCAGCCCTTGGCAGGTGATTAGATCAGGAGGGTAAAGATGAGGGCGGTGCTAGACCTGACACCTCTTATGTGGTTCATAGAGCAGCAAGCGGTGATGTTCCTCTAAGATGAAGGACTGATGCACAGACCTGCCATTGGGATCACAGTTAACTCAAAGCTGAAGCCCCAGCCTGGACTGATGGCTTTCCCCTACTAAATAACTCCAAAGTTTAAGCTTGAAATACTGGAGGTTCCACCAACAACAGATTATGAGTGATCATGGAGGGATAGTCAGCTTCCGGTTGGGTAATGGAACTAGACAGTTTTAGTTTGTGGAGCTTGATGATGCACACTTTGAGTGCGGGTGTCCAGGTGATAGGCAGAACTTTAGGATTAGAAGTGGCTCTGCCCTCACTGTTCTGTGATCTGAGACAAGTTACCGCAATCTGTCTGATCCTCAGTTTCCTCAGTTGGAGAGTGGAGAAAACGTTAGTACTTAGTGGTTGTTATGAATTAATTAATTAATTAACTGGTTAATTTGTAAAGGGCGCCTGGTTGAAACAGTGTCTGGTTCAGGTGTTATTTAGTTGTTTATTAAAAAATACAGGCAAGATGCAATTTAAAGCAAAATAAAGTTTGGGGAAACCTAAATGAGAGTTTAAGACCATTGGTACATGATTAGTTGGTCATGGAAGTCGAGCAAGACTTTGTGAAAAGGGAAAACAAAATTGAATGACACAATGATAAGAGAAAGAGGAAGGCCCAGAGAGGCCTACAAATGAGGAAGGGAAGCCTTGCAGAGTTAGCTCTGGCCAGAGGAATGAAGAGAGAAGCTCACCGACAGGGACCTAGAGAGGCAGTGAGACTGCAGGAGGAAGACACTTGGATGGCCACTTCTGGAGTTTGCTGGTGAACTGTGAATACACCCAAGAGCAGATAAGGCTATACTAACTTCACAGGCAACACATTCTTGACGAGTGAAGTGACCCTTAAGAAAAGTATGACTAGACAACTGTGCTGGTCTAATCTCCATGGTTAGGTATCAAATACTAGGTGAACATAGTATAATGTGAGACAAGATGTAAGATTTCATTATGTTCTCCTGATCATCTCAAACAAGTTTCCTTAATGGAAAATTCTGAAAATTTGAGATGCTCTCATTACATTTTACTTGTGCTTGTGTAGAAACAAGTAGACTTTTGTTCTATATGAAAGTTCATGACATAAACATATAGAAACCCAGACAAGTCCATCTGTAAGTGGACCAAAGGCTCTGGTGAAAACTTCTCAATGAATTATTTATTGTTTACAGATTGAAGATGCATTTATATAAATTTAAAAAAATATTTTTATCCAAATATTTCCCTATAAATTCCATTTTAGTAAATATCTTTCGAAGACCTTTGTAAGTCAGAAAGAACAGCTTTTCTTTTTTTTAAAGGCCTTTTAAAAAATTAGCACTGGAGCTGAGTATGGTGGCTCACACCTTTAATCCCATCACTTGGGAGGGAGGCAGAGGCAGGCGGATGTCTGTGAGTTCAAGGCTAGTCTGGTCTACAAATCGAGTTCCAGGTCAGCTAGGGTTGTTACACTGAGAAACCCTGTCCCAAAAAACCAAGAGAGGGAGAGAATGGGAGGGGGAGAGGGGAGGAGAGGGGAGAGGGAGAGGGAATGAACCCAGAACCTGAGCATGACAGGCAAGTGCTTACGACTACCTGAGCATGATTGATAGGTAAGTGCTCATGACTACCAGTCTCCTTGGGGTGCCAGGATGTCTTTGCACTCACTTTGTCCCACAGGTGGGCCTTGAACTCGTGATTTGCCTCAGCTTTCTGAGTAGCTGGGATTACAGGTTTGGATTACAGTGGTTGGTTTTGTTTTGTTATTTTTTATTATTATTAAAGATGTGTTTTTTTAGTCTGTTTTTATAGTGGCTTTATTGTTATGCTACACACACTGTCTTATGTGTTTAAAGGGAGAGTTACCTAACCAGCTCTGAAGATTTACTCAACTACCTATACAACCAAAAGCAAAGGAAGAAGACCAAGAACAGGCAACATATGGTTCACAAGCATTTTAGTGTTAGGTTACTAATTAAATTGTATTAGACCAGTGCTGCACAGTAAGATTATAATGTGCCAACAAATGTGAACCATGTAAGGTTTTTTTGTTGTTGTTGCTGTTTTGTTTTTACATTTTCTTAATTCAAGCCGCATTTAATACAGGGGAAAACCAAACAGGTGGAGTTATCTTTAATAATATGTTTCTTCACCTAGCAGATTCCAAGGGATCGTTTTTAACATGCAACCAACAGAAAAATTTATTAAGGCATTTTCCATTATTTTTTCTGTACTGTCTTGGAAACCCAGTGTATATTTTTCAACGCACCTCACTTCAGACTAACCAAAAAATTCACGTGGTCAACAGCCACATGTGGCTTGTGGCTTCCATATCTAGACACTGCAGCTTTGAACCAAAAATACACCCCTTTCGTATTTTGGGGCAAGTTGACAAGTAGAGACACACAAAGATTGTTCATATAGCACAACTTGGCACATGCTTTTCCTGAAATGCTCGCCCCCTCCGATTTCCCCTATGGGTTAGTCAAGTTTCTTCAGGTGAAACTAAGCTCAGTTGAGATGCCGGTGAATCTCAGGGCTGTGTGTACTATTTCCTCGGGGTTGGGGGGAGTTCTATCTCAGGTTGCAAAAAGAAAAATCATATAGCTCATAATATTCACTCCTGGGATAGATCCATTATAATAAGGTGTCCCATGAATGATAGTGCACATTCGGCTGGAAAAAAAGTCACCTGGGGTCTTATGAGATTGCGGTTTTATTTATATTTAACTGTCGACTCCCGGGAATGGCGTCAACCCTCCGGGAGACCCCCTCCAGAGCCCCAGGCTGCTTCTGGTCCGGGCGCACGCTGCCCCAGTTGTTCTCGGGCTCCGGCCGCCGCCGGCGTTTCCGGTCAGCGCTCCCGCTCGCCCGCCGGCGTCCCTCTCCGCCCGGGGTCAGCGGCGGGAAGCGAGCGCCTACGGTCGGCGACTGGGAGCATCCGGAGCGCGGTTCCGCGCGCTGTCCACTCCCTCGCCGAGCGCTCGGTGCGTGCCAGGCCGGGCGGCGCTGTGGGCGGTGGTGCAGGGCCCTCCCCCGGGAGCTGTGCCGCCAAGGTGGAAATGCGGAAGTTTCCCGGCGCGGCTGACAGATGAGGCTGGCGGCGAGCGCGGCGGGCGCTGCAGCGGCTGTACGTTCAGGCCCCGTCCCTCGGCACCCCCGCGAGTCCCGAGGCCGGCGAGCCGTGCGTGCGCCATGGCCACGCTGCCAAGCGCCGAGCGCCGCGCCTTCGCGCTCAAGATCAACAGGTAAGACGAGTCCGCCGCTGGGCGCGCGGGGACTCAACCACGTCCTCAGTGTCCTCCGTCACCAGTGCCGCTTCACCGAGCAGCCTCTCAGCCACCTCCCCAGCCCCGCGTGGCACGAGCCGCCTTCGCTGTCCTGACAGGTGGCGGAACCCGGAGAGTGCAGCGTGCCCCGAGTGTGTGTGTGTGTGTGTGTGTGTGTGTGTGTGTTGCCGCGCGCCCGGACTTGGCTTACAAATTGTTCTAGGTGGAAAAGGGGGAAAGGAGCGCAGTGGTTGAAATCAGCTTTGCTTTGAAGCCAACCCCTCTGTGCCAGGGTTAAGATTCTTTCAACGCCCCCTCCTCCAGAAAAGATCTTGGCTCCCGATGACATCGCTATTTTTATTCCTTGGTCCAAAGGGAGCCAAGCAATGAAGTGGAAAAAGTGATTTTTAAAATTCTTCTTTTAAATAAGCAAAAAGGAATGAGCTGTAGCTGGCATTTAAAGATTTATAGCACTCCAGCAAAGTGAAGGACACGGATCTCCAATTTATAATCAAGGGTTGCACACACTACATCTGTATGTGTTGACTGCTCCGAGTTCTCAGTAGACTTGAGTGGCAGCGCTTCCTCCACTAAAAACTGCTGACAAGTGATCAGGGGCATTTTTGCCTTGACCTGGGAAATCTAGACAGCCTGGCTGAAAGATAATGTGGAACTCCACTGTGAAGGGCAGCCCTCTGGAAGATTTTTGTTTTGTTTTGTTTTCTTCTTGTTGTTGTTGTTTCTTCTTTCTTTCTTTAGTTGAGCCTGTGGGATCCACACTTTATCTTTGGGCTGCTAGTGAGTGGACCCTGAGCCACTAGGAGTCACCATCCCTGATAGTGAGCAGTTAAGGACTTCTGAGGGTCTATGGAGCTGCACTGCTGTGTTGTGAGCAAACCATTTCTCTTACCTCACTATTTCATCTGTAAAAATGAGTTTAATTATTAATGTGGACTGTATACAAATGTTGCAGGTTAAAGGGTGCTAGTCTGAAGCCATAAATTATATCAGATAGTCTTCCTATCAGAGCTAATTTTCTGAATCGGGGTTTTCACAGCTGTTGTGGGGCAATAAGGGCTATTCATAGGAGTTTTTGGTGGATGTCATGGTTGCATAGCTGCTACTCGTACTTTGTCCCTGTCGTGAGAAAGAAGCAAGTCAGGGAACAGGAACAAGGGCAGGAAGATGTTAGCAATTCTGGTGGGGTGATACTGATCTAAAGTGAGTGACCCAGGCCTAAATTAACCCTGGAGGTATTCTTGCAAGGAGTTATGGGGTTGCTGTAATCCAGAGGTTGAGAATTAAGGCATTGAGTTAGGTATCACAAGTTGAATGCCAGTCCAGGCTTCATACCGAGATCTCACAACAAACAACAAAACAAAAATAACTACCCAAATAAAACAGTGTTAGAAAACCGGCCTTAACTCCAAGAAGTTCTCCGGTCTCAGCTTTCCAATTGCTGGGATTGCAAATGTGCACCACCATACCTGGTTTTTGTGTCAGTGAGAATAATCATACTATCTGGCCATAGGTTCTGCCCCTTCTGACTGTGAGGGGGTTTAAGTGGAGTAGAGAAGGGACAGAGTGCCTATAATGCCTGGCTCAGAGTAAATGTTAGGTAACTGTTAGCTGCTGTATCAGTGCCCCAACTTCATCCTGGCCATTGCCATCTCTAACATCACCATCTCCTGGAGCCTATGAGGGAAAGCTGAAGTTGGAGTGTTTTGTAGGTGGAGGTCATTTGGGGGTGGATATGGGGATGTCAGTGGCCACCTGGAGCCTCAGACATACTCATTGGAACAGAGTGTTCTAATCTGACCAACTGCCCACTTAGGAAAGTAAAGTATAAGGTGTTTCTTAATCTTCCAGATGGAGGATAAATTGTATTTATCTGCTCTTAGAGTTTTCTTTCCTCTTTTTATATCATTCTGAATATTGAGCGCAAGAATTACTCTAAGGGGCTTGGCAGGTATAACTTTCAGAAGAGTTGATTAATAAGAATGTGTCTAGTGAGCCAGGCTGTGGTGGCACACGCCTTTAATCCCAGCACTTGGGAGGCAGAGAGAGGTAGATCTCTGTGAGTTCGAGGCCAGCCTGGTCTACAGAGTGAATTCCAGGACAGCCAGAGCTGTTACACAGAGAAACCCTGTCTCAAAAAAAAAAATAAATAAACAACAACCAAAAAAATGTGCCTAGTGGTAATATAAAATTAAACCCCACTGTGTTTCAGATGCTGTGATATCACAAAACTGTAGGGCACTCAAGTCATCTTGTACAGAAGATGTGCTTAGCTTTGTCAATTTGACACAATCCGGAATCGCCTGGGAAGCAGGTTGTCTACGTTGGTTTTGCCTGTGGGCATGGCTGTGTTAGATTATCTATTGTTATTTGATGGAGGAAGACCTAGCCAGTGTAGGCAGCACCATTTCATTAGAGTGAAGTAACCTGCCTTAAGCAAGCCAGATTGGGTCTACACCCCTTTTGTGCTTGGTTGTGGGTATGACTAGCTGCTTGAGTTCCTGCGTTGACTTCCCCAAAACGATGGACTGTGACCTGACATTGTAAACCAAATAAAGCCTCTCCTCCCCTAAACTGGAGATATTTTACCATGGAGAGGGAAACGAAACTAGAGTAGAAGGGGAAAGTAAAGCTGAAGCGGTAGTTGCACAAGGCCGTGTATTTGTTAAAGGTCTTTCCATCAACAGCTAGGACTACAGAGTGCTCTTAGGACAGCACTCTTCATTAAGCCCCTGCTCTTTTGATCCATGTGTTATAAGAATTCCTTCAAAAACCATTAACTTTTAAAAATCATGTCAGTAACAGCACTGACAATTCTGTTACTATTACTGAGTAGTGCATAGTGTGTGTAAACGATACGTTTTGCAGGGTCAAACATGGAGAAAATCTTTTACCTTACATGTGTGCCTATTAGTTTTTAAAACAGGTCAAATTCCAAAAGTGAGACTGTGTTGAAATATGGCCATTAAGCCTTTTAGTGCAAGTTCATGTTTTCACCTGTTTGTTCAACAATGATATTCCTTAAAAAATTGTCAGGTGAACTACTGTTCCTTCTGCTGATGAAATATTGCAATCTGACATACTAAAAAGAGCTCAGCTCTGTGCCCCAGCCTCAACAAGGAATGAGCAGTCTCTTACAGTCTGTGAAAACTATTCCCCACTGCATTCAAATTTCTGTGGCTTCCTGCAAGCAGCATTGCCCGGAGCAGGGACAGAGCCAAAGCCAGAGGAAGTTGAGAAGGCTGCCAGCAGCTGCCTCCTCTTGGTTGTTCTGGCTCTTTCATGCTCTCATGAGCCCAGATTCAAGGGCTAAAAGTCACCAGGTAGCACATGCTAGGAGCATCTTGCGTGACTGTATCCCTGGTTTGTGTATACTGAAACATTTCTCTAGAACCTGTAGCTCAGAGACATAGAAGACAAAATTCTACCACTGAACTGTTCTGAGTTGCAAGAGTAAAGTTTACTTTCTGGTGAACAATATGCGTTTGTCTTGATTTTAGATTTTCCCTAGTTATCATGCAGAAGAAAGACTAGATCTGAATTAGGTTGTTACAATAATGTTTGTGTTTGGGGTTTTAGGAACTGCTGTATTATTTATCATAGTCTTTCAAAAAGCAATCCCTTGTTAATTACCTCTTTGATTACTGAAATTCACTGCTTTTGTAGATGCTGGAAATTATTGGTAATACTGTGAAAATTCATTTGACAATACATTAGCTTCTTTTTCCTTTTATACAGTGTTGGGTATTAAACCTAGGGTCTCACACATGCTAGGCAAGTACTTTACCACCAAGCCATATCCCATATCACGTGTTTCTTTCAAACACAGAATAAGTGTAGAACTTGATCAGATGTTAAAGTAAAATAAGAACTTTGGTTAAAGAAAGAAAATATATAAACTGTTGGGGGGGCATTAATGAACTTCTGGACACCCAGGATTGAAAGAAATAGAAAATATGGCTTTTTATAGTTCTTACTGTATTTGTTAACTTTTCTGTTGCTGTGATAAAATACCATGACCAAAAGCAACTTACAGCAGAAAGAAATTTAATTTGGCTTATGGTTCCAGAAAGAGAGTCCATGATGGAGGCAGGGGGAGGCATGACTACAAGCTATCAGAGCAGGAAACCGAGAGATCACATCTTCAGATGCAAACAGGAAGCAGAGACAGCAATCTGGAAGTGGGGCAAGGCTTAAACTTTCAAGGCATACTTCCTTCAGCCAGTTTACACCGCCTCCCTAAGCAGATCTGCCAACAGGGATCAAGTGCTAAAACACCTAAGCTTGCGGGGAACATTTCTCATTCAAACTACCACACTTAGTATGTGGCAGGTATGGATCTAAATGTTTATATCATAACTCACCCACTTCTATGAATTAGGAACAATTACTGTCTTCATTTTATAAATGGGGAAACAGAACTCAGATAAGTTAGGTAAATTCCTATTTCACACAGCTAATGAAGGTCAGAGCTGGGATTTGTGTTCAGTCTGTTTCCAGAATCCTGCCCTCCTACTCACCACACCATGATGTATCTTGGTTTTGTTTTAAAGTAAAGAAGTAACAATATTTACTATCTACTGAGTGTTGTCAGACAGCCAAAATTCCAGCACTGATGAGGGAAACGCTCTCTAGTCCCCACCCCCTAATCTAAGGAGCCAGTGGCAGCTGATAGCTACTGGAACAGGGGGAATCATTCCTTTTTTGAAGCACCAGTGACTTGGTCCCATACCCATGCACACATGGGCAGCACTAATTGAACTTAATGCAACTGAAAAAGAAAAAAAGTCATGAAGTTGGGAGGGGGATATGCTGAGGGAATATAAGGGGAGTTGGAGGAAGGAAATGGGTGGATGTGATAATATTTTATTGTGTATATGTATGAAATCTCACAAATAAAAATTATGATAGAGAAATGATAACAGTTGAAAATGCTTATTATTTATTTTATTAGTGTCCCT